ACCCGAGAAGCAGCTACCTCGAAACGACAACGATCGTGAGAACCCATGGCAGCTGTACATTCTCAGAAATTACCTCTGGGTCGTTGGCCAATCAGAGGCGTGCAGTGCACAATGTGAATACTATAAACTAAACTACGACCAGGTAAGGGGCCGTCCATAAATGACGTCACGCAGCTGGGGGGGGTCAGACATTTGTGACGATGTGTGACGTCACATCAAAATGCACAACTTTAAATAAATATAGACAACACGTTCTAATTAATTAAATAGACTTTTTAATAAATGTTTTCTCCTATAACATCAGAGTGCAGCGCCACATTTAAAACGCACTACAATGACAATAGTTTAAAGCGATTTGAAGCATAAAAATTTTGATTTAAAGCTTTCGTGACTGCAGTGATTCATATTATTGGTTCTTTCGGTAAAGTCACGTTGAAGGGAAACAATAAAATAATAAAATATATATTGTGTTATATATTTTATTATTTTATTGTTTCCATTCAACGTGACACTAACGAAAGAACCAAGAATACGATTTGAAGCATGTTTAATTTTTTTTGGGGGGGGAGGCAGAGCTTTGTGACGTCATATTTGAGAGGGGGGGTCTGATTTTTTGTGACGCCGTGTGACGAGGGGGGGGGGGGGTGGGTCAAAAATCGTCCAAAATCGCGTGACGTCATTTATGGACGGCTCCTAAGGCCCATTGAGCTATATAGCTATTTTTCAGAAGCGACCTGGCCATCAGCGACTTAGCTAATGTTTACATTTATAGCAGCCAAACACTCTAAACCCATGATTCTAAATGTGGAGGGAAAACCGAAAGACTCGGAGAAAAATCCACGCGACCACAGCGAGAACATGGAAGTTCTATCCCGACAGGCGACCTCCTGTATGCCAGGCGAGGTCGTTAACATCTCGCCACCGCAGCGCTCACACGAGTCCACGGATGGTACCTTCATGCGGAGTGTCTATGCCAATGTGATTGGCTAAGAGAGGCGCCTATGAACCTCCCCGTGGATTCAAACACATGGTCTGAAAACCGATGTGGAAAACACGAGCAGTGCGCACCACACGGTCGTGTTTTTGTTTTGTTTGTTTGTTGTGCTTGCACCCGATTCAAGAGCCGAATGGCTCACGGCTATACCAAAATAAAGCAACTGAAACTGAAAACAACAGCTGGAGGAACCTCTCCATCTCTCATACGTTAAACATCATTGCAGTCCATCAGTCCATGGGCTGACGGGGCCAATGTTTAACACCAACATTTAACCAGACGAGCTATTTAGTCATCTTCTTTGGTTCTTTCGGTAAAGTCACGTAGAATGAGAATAAAATAATAAATTGATAAAATAAAATAACACAATAATATTCTCACGACGTTTCGGCCACAACACAAGCGGCCTTCATCAGGTGAAGAGAGCGAGACTGTCTGGTAGGACAGCGCTGGAGTGAGAGAGCCACGTTCAGATCACGGCTTTTAAGCTGTGTGAGAGGAACAAAGAGCCTTGACGAAGGAATTAGCATAAAATTTAGCATTGAAAAGGCTGAATTATTAGCTTGTGACTGGTCACAGAAATAGCTATGTTAAAAGTTAAAGCATACACATCCGCAGAGGCACCCATTGTTAAAAGGAATTAGCATAGAATTTAGCATTGAAATAGCTAAATTAAGGCATTCGCTTGTAACTGCTACAGAAATAGTTACGTTGAAGTCAGAGCATACACATTCACCGAGGCACTTAGTACAAATCAAAACAGGAGAATTTAGCATTGAAATAACTAGGCGAATTTAGCATTGAAATAACTGGGTGATTTGCTAGTGACTGGTCACAGAAATGACTACACATCTGAGCTATTCACAGTACTATATAGTGAACCAATAAAAACTAAAATATAAATTCCCTTCATGTTATCAATAAACTCTATATTCTCCAATCAGCTAAGCTACCAACCATAAGTCGTTATATATCACAATGCTATATGGCGAAAAAATTGGGTGGATTCTTACCCTCAAATTTCCGTACCACGGATAGCTACGGGCCCCGTTCAGACGGACGAGTTCGTCCATGGTCGGAACAGAGGAGGGGGAGAGAGACAGCTGCGAAGCCCTAGTATACTCCATGTTGTAAACCATACCATTAACCGTGGTGTGAGAGGTATTAAGAGGCAATGCTGGCGAAAGAGCTGCGGTCTGAAGGTCATCGTAAAATTACAATTAATTAAGAACAGAAATGATTTAACACATCTTTCCAGTGGTTACTGAGCCTGAATCCATCTTCTCGGTTGAAATTGTCTCTGTGCTTGTATATGTGAATGGCCTCATGAACTCGTCCGTCTGAACGGGGCCCGTAGCTATCCGTGGTACGGAAATTTGAGGGTAAGAATCCACCCAATTTTTTCGCCATATAGCATTGTGATATATAACGACTTATGGTTGGTAGCTTAGCTGATTGGAGAATATAGAGTTTATTGATAACATGAAGGTAATTTATATTTTAGTTTTTATTGGTTCACTATATAGTACTGTGAATAGCTCAGATGTGTAGTCATTTCTGTGACCAGTCACTAGCAAATCACTCAGTTATTTCAATGCTAAATTCGCCTAGTTATTTCAATGCTAAATTCTCCTGTTTTGATTTGTACTAAGTGCCTCGGTGAATGTGTATGCTCTGACTTCAACGTAACTATTTCTGTAGCAGTTACAAGCGAATGCCTTAATTTAGCTATTTCAATGCTAAATTCTATGCTAATTCCTTTTAACAATGGGTGCCTCTGCGGATGTGTATGCTTTAACTTTTAACATAGCTATTTCTGTGACCAGTCACAAGCTAATAATTCAGCCTTTTCAATGCTAAATTTTATGCTAATTCCTTCGTCAAGGCTCTTTGTTCCTCTCACACAGCTTAAAAGCCGTGATCTGAACGTGGCTCTCTCACTCCAGCGCTGTCCTACCAGACAGTCTCGCTCTCTTCACCTGATGAAGGCCGCTTGTGTTGTGGCCGAAACGTCGTGAGAATATTATTGTGTTATTTTATTTTATCAATTTATTATTTTATTCTCATTCTACGTGACTTTACCGAAAGAACCAAAGAAGATGAATCATTGCAGTCACGAAAGCTTTAAATCGAAATCTATTTAGTCATGTCAATCATCAGCCATGATCAATCCACTGTTGGATAAAGGCCTCGCCAAATCGTCACCATCTAGTATGTGATACTAGACTCCGTCTAGCTCCTACACACTACGCGGATTTCGTTGCTCCTTCTCCATGGTGTACGTGCCCTCGAATGTGTTTCGCCCTTTGGCTGCTACTGCGTCATTAGTCTCCACCATCCACCATCATCCCCTCCAGCGATGTCTCTCACGAGCTCATGTCCTCCAATCCATGTTCATCTTCGTATGTGTCACTATATGACACATTCCAAGCATGCTTCTCCGAGCACTTTTCAGATATATTTTATCCAATTTCTTGAGGATTTGTACAAATGTACCGATTTGGGAAAAATTGGTACCACGGTACAATCAATGGGGATTGGTTGCCAATGACACAAATCAGCACAGGAGCATTAATTTTGTTTAACAGGTTACACAGTTGATTTGAAGCTTTCGTGACTGCAGGAATCCATACTCTTTGGTTCTTTCGGTAAAGTCACGTAGGTAGAAAATAAAAGAAATCACGACGTTTCGGGCGCAACACAAGCGTCCGTCAACAGGTGGGAAAGCATGGCCTGCTTTACCGAAAGAACAAAAAGGAGTAAGGTGACAGTGCTGATGAGCCTAAACGTTACAACCGGCCTCAGGGTTTTGCTGGTGATACAAATGTTGCTGGTAAACATAACGTCAGGAGTCCCATGATAGGCAGATGGAATGAAATGTATTTCCACTTTGTGTCCAGACATTTTCTTGAACACGGGTGTTTTGCAAAATAGCTTCCAGGTGACCTCAATAAGCATTAACACGAGCCACGATCGCCCTCTCGTGGTGAGGATCTCTAACCGACCCTAAAGTCGCGGGGTAAAGTCCTTGGGTCGTAGGGCCCAAGCCATCAACCCCTTGGGACTGGTAAATGGAGGGTCGCTTTGCAGGAAGTCTTTTTGTCTGTGGAGATGTGCGGTTGCCATAGTAACGTGGCGTTTACACCACTGGCTTAGCGTTGTAATTGGAGATGGGCAGTGCTCATTGGCTGTGACAACATTGCTGTCTTTAAATAACCCGTAAATTTACCCAGATTTAGAATCAGGTGAAATCTTGAGACAATTACATTTGCCTCCCGCCATCCTTCACTGCTATAAATAGTACAGCAAATGTTATCACAGCACGTAGGGTGCTTGCATATCTGCATAATTGTTTTTGTTTTATGTCCCCTTTGCAGCACTTAACATATTCTACAAAAAAACAATGTGTCAAATATTTGAAGCAGGACCCTCAAAGTCTTGTGATGCCACGGGGCTTTTCCTTAGTAAACATCACTTTGACATTGTACGTGTTTTGTGTTTTTTTACAGAACAATCAACAAGAGCGGATCTCGCACAGTGCGACTACAGCCATCAATCTCAGTGGGCTACTGAATACCACTTTAAGATGTTTTTTTGTTCGTGTTTTTTTGTTTGTTGTGGTTGCACCCGATTCAAGAGCCGAATGGCTCACAGGGCTATACCAAAATAAATAAACTGAAAATAAACTGAACTGCCCCCTTCGCTCAAGTTTGTTGCATCTGTATGGTTCTCTATGCACGTCTTAGGTGTGTTTACGATTCTTTAAGTCTATGGGTCTCACGTGAATCTATACTTCAGACTTTGGACCACATTGTAAGGCTACTGCCCGACTCGATCATTTTCTGGCACCATATCATATACACGCCAGGCTATTGTGGACTCCATCCAGTGGGCTCACATCAACAAGAGCAAACAAGACCACGTTACCGATCGACTCCATACAAAGCAAGACAGACTAATCCAGGAACATTCACGCCACCAAAAATGTGAATTGGGGCAACAAAAAAAACATCCGGGGAAAAGTTTTATTTTGCAAAGCTGTACAAACCTCAAAAGAACGCGCGCCGACGCGCATCACAGTGGCTCTCGAAAAATACATGCGCACTCAGAAACCACCACAAGAGACCGATCGAGAGCCTAGGCTCTAGCTCGCCCGATAAACCGAAAAAAAACACTCGAAACACGCCGCACACAACGCACCGCTGTCAAAACCGTGTCGGTGCACAAGGAAACGCGAATACGTTGGGATCTTGCGGGAAAAAAAGCACGTGAATACTGTATCCTTGGCACATTTTGCCCACCCGGTATTTAACCACCCAGGCGATACCCATCATTGTCTGGTGTCGAGGATTTAGGAATCCGATCTGGCGCCTCTGAACCAGTGATGACAATATTTCCACATTCCTTTGGTCGGACATCGACACAATGCGGTACTTATGTTTATCCACCCCAGAAGTATTCCGGAGTAAATGCTGGACTCTAGGATTTGAACCATCGACTTGGTGTCCCGTTGACAGCTGGGGTCATGTCCCCTCTATTTGGGGAGACGACACGACGCCAGCATTCTCTGCTTGTTGTGGAGGTTCGCGGTTTAGTTGACCGCTCTCAAGAAAGTGACTTGAACGTAACTTGTACATAAATGTGACTTGTACATAACTTCCAAATGCGAAAATGTGGTTTATGTGTTTATGTCATGACTTGTTTAACGTTCACCATTAGGAAAACAGCATTTATGAATTAAAACCAACAAAAATGAGTACGCCTATGACAGTTCAACCAATTTCTCAATTCTACACCCCTTTACATACCTAAGGCCACCTGCAACTCATTAAAATTGGGAATTATACGCATACATCATAAAATATATTTTTACTGCAGCTTATGTAAATATAACAGGGTATTTTTTTGTGTACATGTTTAAGTGCTGTGTGAATTTGTCCTGGCCACCACGAGGTTGACTCCACCAGACATTAGTACCCATGCCGGCATTAATCAGGAGTCTTGCACTAAGTCTATATAAGTGACTGAAAGGGTCACATGACATTGTGTGTAAAAATGTCGGGCCTTTTAAAGAGCATTGAGGAAGCAAGGTGTTACTAAATGTTTGGCTTACGTGAAACATTAAAAGCACGGTTATATTTAGTGATCGCACAAAATTGTGCAAAAAAGTTAAAGTGTCTTCCTCCGTAGATGGGTTGAGAAGATGCTCATCCTTCGATGGCAGTCCGAAGCCAGTGGCAGCAATTTAATAATCCTGACAGGGATGAGTTAAGCTCCCCTCCAACGCGCCCCCCACCTCAGTACCATGATGGCAGCAATGGATTAACCCTGACCGGAGCCATGGAATATTCCGACATCAAATCTGACAGCAATACAACAAAGTGCAGTGATCCAGGGGGTTATGACGGTACACATTTTGACATCCCCTCTAAAGACATCCTGACCTTTGCTCCGTGCTTGCTCCTTCCCTAAATACAGCACACGACAACGGACATACACACGCACGCATTCATCCTGTGCTGCCTTGCGCGTATAAATAACACGTATAATGCAGTGAGTGAAAGGTAAAGGTGCGCAGCATAGAAATTGCTTGATGGCGCCACTTATGGCGCAAGGGCCTCGGCTAGATGGAGATCTTGATCTTGAAGAGCCACTTCCACACTGGCCAGACATCTTCGATGAGATTATGTGGTTGATAATGTCGATGATGAAGAGTACCCGCACTTTACCCCACCACACACGACCAGCCGATCGCCTGCGGTGTGCCCATTTATACAGAGGTGGGGGGAGGTGGACTTTAAGCAAATTGGCGGCTTCCGCATTGGGCAGCTCACTTTTCCCCTTGATATACAGCAAGGGAGAAAGTGAGCTGGCTCGGTGCAGCTCCCGAAGCACCTGGCATGGAGCAGTGAAATGTCATCCTTGGGATTACACCGATGGGGACATGAAGAGCAGCAGGTGGATTAGAGAGCAAACGCAAGCAGGATGATGACAGTTCTTTATCCAGCACCGCTATTGGTGATGATTTAATCTAAACAATAATGTCACTATGCAACGACCGAAGGCTGCATACCATGATCAGTTTGTATTGGCTGCCACTGTCCTCACAATGATCCAACTTGCCGATACCACTTTCCTCTCTCTAGTTTATTTTAGAAACAATCAGTGTTTTTAATATATTGACATGATCGTAAAAAGTTACCAACCGGTACATGCCAAGTGAAGATAATCTGATCATACACTGACAAAGGAATATATGGGATGACTGGTACCCACTGTTGGTTAGCTGCTTCCAGCAATGCGTTATTGCCTAACACTACTAACATATGACACAATAATCCCCCAGTTAGCCACGTTAATCGCAGGTGCTCTTGGTACAAGTCTACACAGGATGACATGCACACGAATGGGGTGGCGTGGCCAGCACCACACCCAGCTACGTCTGTCTGATGTTCACACACTGTAATAGGTAGCTATTTCAGGCTGAGTCAACCTAGAGGTTAGGGCTCTGGACAAGTTGCATCACCATGCGCCACCAGAGTTGTGCAACGTGGCCGGGAATCGAACCCAGGTTTTGCTGTGATTGTAGTACCGTGGCGCTACACGATGCACCACGACTCTCCATTCTTGCACAGCTAAACACAAACCAACATACACTTAAACTTACACACACAAAGACATACATACAAACACACACACACAATATTTCAGTTGTGCCTGCTTCAACTCAGTGGGGGTGACCGAGGAACAAGAGGCAGTGGAGGGCAAGTGGTGTGAGGGGGGAGAGGATGGGGTTTGGTGCTGGAGGGGTGGTGTGGCGAGGGGGAGAAGATGGTGGAAAGGGTGCAGATGGGAAAGGGAGGTGGTGAACAACAGGGCATGAGGGGAGGTGGGGGAGATATTGCAAGGTGAAGGATAAACTAGGAGTGGAGAAGGTGGAGGACAGAGAGGGCTACAGGGTGTGGAGAGATTAAATACAGACAAGTCGAGATGAAGCAAGGGGTGTGAGGCGAGGTGAACAAGAGGGTGGGGGGTGGAATCCGGTCAGAATGCTGGAAGGGTGGAGGTACTGGAGCGGTTGCCCTCAGAGGCCCGCGTCGTTGTATGCTGGAGCCTCGGCCTTGAGGATGCTCTGTGGGTTCTCTTCCACGAGCGGCCTCCACTTGACGTCGCCCGTTAGGAGGAGGTCGTCCCCGTTGAGGGCATCCAGGTACTGCATCTGCGGGGATGAGAGGGGACACGCGGTGCCAGTCGCGTGAGGTCAGGGCAAAAAGCTAAGGATCGTCTGTTTCGGTACTGCAGAAAACGTTCTACAGAGTCACCTTGCTAATGTTAGGCCTAATACCTCTTTTCCACTGCACAAATGAGCCTAGCCGGGGCAGTGCTGAACCAGCTCTAAATGGCTGAGGAGATGCTAGGTTGCTTTTCCACTGAATAACCTGAGCCATGTTGACAGCATGTCACTGACGTCACACGTAATCAGTGTCCATTAGTCCTCCACCGCCATGCCTGGCCCCGTGCCAGATTCAGGGGTACCATAGTGGCAAGATGTTAACTACCTTGCCTGGAGTACAGGAGGTTGTGGGTTTGATCCCGACTTTGACGCCTGTATATTTGGAGTTTGCATGTTCTTCCCATGGTCGTGTGGATTTTTCTCCAGGTCCTCTGGTTTTTCCCTCCCCACTTAGAATCAATCGTATTTGAGATGCAATCGTATTTAGAAGCTATACGGATAAAAATGCCATGGTTGTATTGTACATTCTTAGTAATGCCCAACTTAGACCCATGTGAGCGTCGGTGGATAGGTAGGCAGTAGCCATGCTATGACACATCGATACATCAATTAACACAAGGGTGGGTGGCAGGGTGGCTAAGTGGCTGGATGGGTGGATGGCTGGTTCATTTGTTGGGTTGTGCGTGGCTGGGTAGGTGGATAAATTTTGGTGGCTGGCTGGCTGTGGTGTGAGTGTTGGGGTGCATGGGTGGCTGTGTGGCTGCGAGTAGCTGGCTGGTAGTTGGCTGTGCGTGCATGCATGCGTGCGTCACCTGTTTGCGCACGTACTCCACCAGCATGGCCAGCAGGCGAGGGTCGTCTCCCTCGCGGTTCAACAAGTTCCTCCACAGCGCTGCCGCCAACACCGTGTCGTCCGACAGGATCCCCTGGGCAGAGGCGCGTGGGCGCGTTACCGCAAACCAATTAGCCGAATCACACTCAGAATCTTTATTTAGACCGGAGGAATCCAATGAGCTATTAAGCTCTTTTTTTCACAGATGTCCAGTAGGGACGGGTCAGCAAGTTACAACAACAAACAATACAAGTGCAAGAGAGAGAAAAAGGTAAGCTGGACAACGCACGGCACAACCCGGACACACACGTCAGGGGAGCCAGACGGCACAACAGCAAAAACGTACGCAGCAGTAGCGGCACCGACCTCATCGTAGCCAAAGATGGCGGCGTAGAAGTTTTCTGTCATCGTTCTCATGCACTTCTTGAGCATCACGGGGTCCACCTGCGCCCACACAACATTGAACCAAGGCGATCACCATCCACTGGCCGTTTGGCCTAAACAATATTTAAGGGCCCATCCTACACAAAACATGGTGACAATGCACTGGCAGTTTTGCACAAGCATGGAAAACTAAACTCAACACATACGTCAAGATCGCTGCTTTTCTTCATAGTAGCAGCAGTGGCGGCGAAAGATTGAAGGAATGGTTGGATACTGGGTTATACACAACAGGGCGACGCCGATAGAAATTGACTTTAAAGAATGTCTTTTGTAATGTTCCTTAATCTTCAATTCTCCAGCCACAGCACCACCCAGTAAAATGTGGGATGGACACCGAGTAATTAATAACACGTGATTGCCAGCAGCTGGCTTGGGGAATCTGACTACAGGAGTAAGTTACTCCCCGAGGCTCCGTGCGGTACAAGTGCCCGGCTCAGCAGCGGAGCAATGCACGCGTTCCACCTACCCCCATGACCTTGCCTCTCTGCTCCACATCCTCCCACATGGAGTAGACGACGAACTTGCACATGTACTTTCCCTCCCGGCCCTCCTGTTTCAAGCGCACCAGGCACATCCTGGCAGAACGCACACGGCAATCACACACACCCGAGCCTGCATGTTAAGCGCTGTCGGCGAGTGCCTATTAACGCTGGTTACGGCACAAGTGTGGGAGAATGTGGTAGGACCAGCAATGTGCAATGGCAAGTCATGTACACGTGCAAATATGCACACATACAAAGAGATCCCCTGTATAACCTTAACAGACTATAGGAGCAAGTGCTGTTAGCAAGCACCTATGAAGGCCGGCACACGAAGGGGTGGGTGGCCAGCACCATGCCTGGCCGCCTTTGTTTCCCTAGTGGCGATGTTTACACACCGCACCAGATACTCATTTGAGGCTGAGTCGACCTAGGAGAGGCCCAGGATCAGTTCAGATAATCGTCACTGGTGGTGGCCATGAGGAGGAATTGAACTTGTGTCGCCAGGTTCGTAGTGCAGCGCGCTAAACGCGACACAGAATATACATACACAAAATGTAAACATTCACATTTATATAAACACATAAACTTACACATACATACAAAGATCACAGTATAATCTGTGTAGACTGTTGAGGCAAGTGATGTTAGTGTGTCAGGGAAAGTGGTGGTAGTGAGTATGTATTAAGAACGTCACGGCTCACACAGAGGGTGAGACTAGCACCACACATGCTGCTGGGTTACAAATTCTGATAACAATGTTTATTAATTGTAAATATTAATGTATATCCTCTCGGTAATTCTCACCACACATGCAGCTGAGTCACCAAAAACCATGAGTTCAGAGTGTCAGGCAGACTGCACCCTGCAACGAGAGTGGTAAACAGATGTCGGATGCATCGTCCTCTCCTCCTATGCCACCACGGCATAACGCATCTCCATACAACGCAAGAAACATCACTCAGGAGGTTACCACCTCCCCTGTCACCGAGGCCACCACGGGTCCGTCACTAAAGAACCTTGGGGTCGTGAATAGCACATTTCGCAGATATTGGCCTATGAAAACCTATGGTTTTAATAAATTACCTTAAATAAATACATAAATAATATATTAAATACATGGAAATGTTCATACCACAAAAATTGGTTATAAACATAAAGTAAATAAAAAAACAATTGAAGTATTAAATAATACTTTATAAATGAACTTACCTTAAATTACGATACTGTACAATAGCATCATCTTCTTTGGTTCTTTCGGTAAAGTCACGTAGAATGAGAATAAAATAATAAATTGATAAAATAAAATAACACAATAATATTCTCACGACATTTCGGCCACAACACAAGTGGCCTTCATCAGGTGAAGGGACGAGACTGTCTGGAGGACAACTGTCTGGAGGACAACTACTCCAGACAGTCTTGTCCCTTCACCTGATGAAGGCCGCTTGTGTTGTGGCCGAAACGTCGTGAGAATATTATTGTGTTATTTTATTTTATCAATTTATTATTTTATTCTCATTCTACGTGACTTTACCGAAAGAACCAAAGAAGATGAATCCTTGCAGTCACGAAAGCTTTAAATCGAAATAGCATCATCATCATCACTATATCTCATCACTTTATTTCTCTCTCTCGATGCAGTAATGTAGAGTTCCAGATGCGATTCGTGGAAAGCAAGTTCATGAATAATGATAGAAAGCTCGTGAATAATGAGGGAATATTGTAAAGGATATTCTGAAAGGTTCTGTAGTTGTTGCAAAGTTACCGCCATGGTGAGCCTTTGCAGACTCATCACCACTGCCACCAGGCTTTAGGCCTTACCGTGCCCTGGGTTGCCAAACCCTGAGTGACACTCCTCTGCCCTGCGCACCTCCCCTTCCTCGTTATATTTAGTGTTCTCATGCCATGGTTTATTCTGAATTTCCAACTTGCTTGCCCTATCCTGCCATGAAATTCCCAGCATCCTCCACATGCACCTGTATTCAAAGGCCACCCATTTTTGAGTTTCTTCGTAAAAGTCTGACTGTAGTATAAGCTTTCTCAATAGATGTAAAGGTAGTATTAAAACAGAGGTTCTCAGGGGCGGTTAAGTGGCTAACAGATGGCAGTGCTGGATGTTACCTCCCCATAAGCGTGGGGTTTTCTCCCACACGAAGCCAAAACACCCATTAGTGACAGTGGCCTGGCATCCAAATGCAGGACTCTTCTGAAAACAAGTCTCGAGATTGAGTTATGTTTTCCTTGGAAGAAAAAATCCCATTACAATTATAACCAAGGGTAAGCCCTAAAGCCAGACAGTGGTGATAATGAGACTGTAAGAGTGGGCCTCCAAGCGCACATCAACTGTTTAACAAGGGGAAGACCTAAAGCCAGCTGGTTGTGATGAACAGGGGGGGAAACTTTGGTCTTGTGTGAATGTTAGTGGAAGTAGCATCTCGCTAAACTGTGCAACCGTACTCTCAAAGAATTCTTCAAAGTCGATCCGCTCAACGCAGCACGTGTACATCCGTAAACCGGCGATCTTTATTTTCTGAGAGGAAAAAGAGAAAAATCACCCATTGAATTAGAACTCAAGATCAGCGAAGGTCAAGAGCTCATCATTTAAATGCTGTTGATGCTATCACCCCATGGTGATCCCTTCCTCCCGTCTGTTAGGACCTAGATTTGTAAAGTCGATACCAGACATTTACAGTCTGCCCTTAGAGTCTCAAGAACACCATCGTCTCCCCCTTGGTCTCGACCTCTGGGTGCTACTCCAATACCCGTCTCAGTGGCCTGCCCTCCTGCACGCAGCACACGTGTCCCCACCCATCATCACAACCTCTTCCCCTTCTGGAATGCCCACCATCACCTCTGCACTAGTACTCACATGTCCACAAAATCATATTTAGATTTTTTTGGTTAAGTTCAAATCTCCGAACCATGCAGGAGCAGACATTATTTTGAACTGTCTCTGAACACTACAGTCGACCACCTCTACTCTTGAAAAATGGTTTATGTCTTATTATTAATAACACTTGCTTTTTCACCCAGCATCGCTTCAGAGCCAAAGAGAGCCTGAAAACGGGGGAAGCCTATGCCCAACAGTGGAAGGTTACGGGTTGCCAACAACAACGTAGACACAGGCACGGAGAGAGAGCGGCGTGCCACTACTCACCCACTTGCTGTACTTGAGGGGGCCGGTGAATCCCATGGCTTCAATCACCCTGGTGATGGTGCCCAGGCTCTCGGGCTCCTCCCGCACCGCAGAGCTGCTCGTGGCCTCCGAGCTGGTCGGCATCTGCTCGAGAACCCAGATTGGTGTCGCAGCGGTTGGCACACTGTGCTACGAACGCGACCTGAGTTCGATTCCCAGCCACGGCTAACACGAAGGGTGAGTAGTGTCACAACTTTTGTTCTGGGCATCTCCTAAGTCCACTCAGCCCTAAATCAATACCTAACACAATGTGTAAATATCATGACTGGGGAGGCAAAGGTGGCTCCCTAGTGCACTGTGCAAGTGCTCGCGAACAACAATTGGCCCAATAGTCTATAATAGTTATATGGAGAACCTTCCTATTTGTTTTGCGTGTGCATCTGTGTGTTCATATGTGTGTATCTGAATATTTCCGTATGGGTAAGGAGGGAGGAAAGACGGACAGGAGGTGGACTTGTATATGTATTTCTACTGACCGTGTACCTCGTATTTTTCATTCTATCTATGCTGGTATGTGCAATCCAAAGGTTGAACACGAAATTTAACACTTCTGAAATTCGTGGTCCGCCAGGAAGTATCTAAGTGTGTTGTTGGCCTGACTGGATGTGCATCACATGTTTTTTCAGGTTTGTTGAATTCTCGTCTCTCATTTTTTTGTTGTATTTACCTCCGTGATTTGTTCTTGACACCTGATGAAGATCGCTTGCGTTGTGATCGAAACGACGTGATTGTTTTTGGTTTTAATATAATTTTATTGTATTTCTACATACGTGACTTTACCGAAAAAAACAATGAGTAATTTTATGCAGTCACGAAAGCTTTAATACTTTGTTGTCACCTTCTCACCAAGTTGCTTGGCAATGGTCTTGTAGCCCATTCCAGCCTTGTGTAGGTCTACAATCTTGTCCCTGACATCCTTGGAGAGCTCTTTGGTCTTGGCCATGGTGGCGAGTTTGGAATCTGATTGATTGATTGCTTCTGTGGGCAGGCATCTTTTATACAGGTAACAAGCTGAGATTAGGAGCACTCCCTTTAAGCGTGTGCTCCTAATCCCAGCTCGTTACCTGTATAAAAGACACCTGGGAGCCAGAAATCTTTCTGATTGAAAGGGGGTCAAATACTTATTTCCCTCATTAAAATGCAAATAAATGTATAACATTTTGACATGCGTTTTTCTGGATTTTTTTTGCTATTCTGTCTCTCACTGTTCAAATAAACCTACCATTAAAATTATAGACTGATCATTTCTTTGTCAGTGGGCAAACGTACAAAATCAGCAGGGGATCAAATACTTTTTTCCCTCACTGTAAACATATACCATTTCCCCCCCTATGTTCACTCGTACCAGGAACGTAACCCCATTTTCCCCATTCAAACAAGGTTTCTGAATTCGCAAATTCTGCATTCGCGAGGGTTTTCAAGAAGGTAACCCTCATGGATAGAGAGGGTTTACTGTACACGTGTTTGCTCATATCCATCTCTGGCTTGGTAGCAGAGGTCTAACGTTAGTCGAGCGGCATTATCCATTCATGGGCTGAGTAATAATGTTTGGAAGCTGTATGGCGTATTGCTTCCAGCCAGAAATATTCATGCTATGTTGTATGAGAAGCATACATCCTTGATAGAGCTGTACACAGTTCCATCAATGAGCTCGTCCAGCAGGCAAGGTTGCAGACACTGCAGCTTTTATAGGAATGGATAAAGTGAAATAAATGGGTGTGGCACAGGCTAGTGGAGATGGGATGATGGGTTATGAGAGGAGTGTGTATGGGTCTATCATGTGAACTCCTGTGAGCAAGGCTTCGACACTTCACGTAGCCTGAACTGCACCTAGCCTGGTACAAGCTTTGTGGTGACATCACAGCCACCTCGTGGCAAATGGCGGTTGTCGTGTTGAATGAATCTGGCTTCACCTTGGTGGAGGAGTGTGTGAGTCTCGCAGGAATGGGTCCTGAAGCTGGGACCCACTGTGTGCACTGGTGGCTCCATGCAGGAGAGCCCCTCCAATGCCAGCCCAGCGGCTGGCCACCTCCTGTCCTCTGCACGCACGAGCAGTCATGCACACGTACAATGATATACAAAAACAAAGATTACCTGTATAGCCTTAGCAGACTGTTGGGGCAAGTGCTGTTAGCGAGCACCTATTAAGCCTGGCACGGTGCACGACGGGGTGGGTGGCCAGCACCACACCCGGCCGCCTTTGTTTCCCTAGCGGCAATGTTTACACACTGCACCAGGTACTCATTTCAGGTCGAGTCGACCTAGGGGAGGCCCAGGACTGGTTCAGATAATCGTCACTGGTGCTCACCGAGAGCGGGAATCGAACTTGGGGGGCGACAGGCTCGTAGTGCAGCGTGCTAACTGCTACACTACTGCTCCCCACAACAATCATATACCCATGCATTCACACACTCACATATAAGTGATCATACTAGGCTACACTCGACGTAACTGTTTGCCTCTCCTGTGCTTCGATGAACTGATACATATTCGGACATCCTAATAGTGCGTGCAGTTTTGTTCAAAATTGTGATAAAAAATACATACATCCATTTTTCGCTCCAGCGAAATAGTTGTGCATGGGCAACAATGAGTGAGATGCGGTGGGCAGAAAGCAAATGCATGCACACGCTGACACGAACAAGTAAATAATACTACTTGTAGTAATAGGTTTACGACCCACGTAATTAAGAACTGTGGGTCACTGCATGATGTCCTCTTTAGGATACTTATGATGAATTGTCAAGTCCAGAGGCTCCAACAGCCAAACTAAAGCAACTTTATCAAATACCTAAGAGTAGCAGGAGAAACAACCCAACCCACCCTTCAGGGTGTCCTTGTTCTCCCCAGTGCTGATGTTAATGGACCACAACAGATACACATTTTTGAGGCGTAATCAGCTGAGAGGAGGTCCAAGACAATATTACGCACCACCCTGTTGTTCTGTAACAGGCCGGATTGTAAACCATGATTTTCAAAATCGCAGCACGAAGCGTAACCACCGTGTCACCACTTCCGACACACGCGACAACTATTAATGTCCTGCACATGAACAGTTTTGAGGGTTTAATGAAAATAAACTTCAAAGCAAGTCTCACACACGGATGAGTTCGGAGCGGCATGGGGATGTTGCACAGACAACCCGTGATCCCATAATCCCTCGCGACACTGGACAGCATTCCCGACTACAATGCGCATTGGCAATTGCTCTACCAAAATTTACCGGCCGGCCATATCGGGTATTGAACCGTCAGCCTCATGTAAACCGTCTCAGGGGTGAGCGCTCATATCATGAGAACACCAGGATACATCTCCTGCTGACATTCTCCATCAAGCTGGATAGACTATGGAGTATGGTCAAAAAGCCCCTGTGTACCTGAAGAATTAGCAGCCATTCAGGAAAAAGTGCAACCTCACTCAGGAGCACAGCACAGCATTAATCGCCTTGTTATAGCCAGCGGTGGAAATTCCCCATTATGCTGGGGATGAGGCAATCTATCGGAAAGTCATTGTCAGCATGAGCCTACTAAAAACCATCATCTTGCAACCAGCCAAAGTTATTACGTTAATGGAAAAGTATTTGTTTAAATCAGTGCCTAAGGCACAACTGCAAGCCGAAAAGCCCCACGTTTGAGACATTGGAGGCTTGGCTGTGATGACTGTCGTCTGGAGAAACGCCATTGTAGAGAATGTTAATTGTTGATATCCAATCAAGAGCTTTCTAGCGATGTGGAGTGAATGTTAGAGAGGATTATGGAATGAGACGAGCAAGAGCGAGCGGGCGTTCAATCGGCGTTCAGTTGTTTAAAGTCGTTCACCACATTGCCCCCTGTGGCGTGTCACTAATTCTCCAGTCTGCATGCGTTATTCGCGGCATGTGTTATTTTCTGATGCGGTTCATGACCGCCATCCCACTCTTGCCGGGGTAGTGTAAAAGGCCCGCCAATACCCACGTTTTGCCCCACCATCAAGGTTCCAGAACATGAATTGAACACACACACACATATCCGGTACGATACCCAGTGGGTTCTTCTCAGACAAATCGCTATTTGGTAAATGTGAGCGACGGGAGAGAGAGTGGGCTAAGAAAGATTCCCTTTATTTACAAGCAACAGCCATCGAAGTCTGAGAGTCTGTCGCAAGGGAGACCTGGAAAAAAAGTACTGCAAATGCAAGGCTTAAAACATATGCTGTATATCGTCGTACGTAATTAACCACGATCAAACAACTTCTGGATGAAGGCCTCTTCCACGCCGTCGGTATCCCCACGAGGAAATTTTGACGCAACAATTCACGCAGCTCCTGCCCACGGAGCAGATTTCACCACTCCCATCTCGGCGGGCGCGTTCTGTCCCTTGGCTGTCACTCCGTCCTCAGTCTCGACCATCGGCGATTCTCCTCATGATGTGCTGGCCGTCGTCAGAGTAACGTGGAATTGCCACCACTGGCTCGAGGCCGTCAGCAAGGAGACCATTCGCGATCATCAGCAGCCACTACTGTCATAGCTCACGGTTCTACGATGTTGCAATACACCAGGCACCGGCACATTGATCTCAATCATTATTAAATGAACATTAATCGCACATGTCCGTGCCAATGAGCCAACGCGCGTCTGCATCAAACTACAACGACTACGCGTGTAATGATTGTGCTGCTGCCGTACGTTTACTTATTCACAGTGTGCATACTTCACTGCTTCAGGTTTCAGTCGTTACCCAACTCAACAGGGCCACTGTTATGAAACCCTAAACACCACCACCACCTCCTCCACTCAGACACGTCATTACACAACCAACATCACCTCCCATCGCCACCAAACCACCACCGTATCACCCATCGCGTGCCCCGTCTCACCGGGGTGGCTCGCCCGAGGCCCCGCACGAGCGAGGGCCCCAGTGCGCGCAGGGACGAGAGCAGCATTGGCGGCCTGGCTGCTGATGTTGCTACGGCTGCGGCTGGGGCTGCCTTGCAAACGGGCACGGGGGAACACGTGGTGGTGGTGGCGGTGGCGATGAAGAGGGAAGGACGCGCAGGGGCGGGGTCTAGGACGGAATAGGGCGGGGCTACAGCTACGTGGGCGTGGATATAGCGAAGTAGGCGGGGCTATAGCGAAGTGGGCGGGGTTGCAGCCCAAAGTAGGAGGGCGTGGCTTTTTAAGCTGGTTTTGTGTTATCAGAATACTGAATTGGTTTATATTCGGAAGATTCCAGAAATGGATTCTCACCAGGGTGAGACCTCCAGAGGCCAGGACAGATATTAATTTAATTTGTTTACACGGGTAATGCATATTCGGCCTTCACGTTGACCGTATGAGCGTCGCATTTCATGAGAGTGACCTGACCCGTCCTCTATTAAATACACATGTTTTGTTTTCCTTTTAAGGCCAAGCGCAGTTGATCAACGAATGCGTTGGGCGTAAAAGCGGGGGAGCCTTGCCTTGCTTCGACGCGAACGGGCGAAGGTTCTAAATCTGGAGGCGGGGCCTCGGGTGCAGTGGGCGGGGGCCTCTGGCAAAATAGGCGGAGCCTTTGACGAAGTGGGCGGGGCCTTTGGTAAAGTAGGCGGGGCTTGAGGGGCAAGCGAGGCTCCGCCCACCTACGCTTCGACGTCAATCATGGCCAACCAATCGCCTCCACACAAACACGAGGGCCCGCTTTACAGACCACACCCCCTCCCCCCTTTAAACTTTACGACGGCCATCTTTGTAAGGGCGGTGAACCACTTTGGCCCACATGATGTTTATCGTCGCCGCTCGATGACGTTGGCGCATTGACTTTGAATGGGCTGGATGGGTGGGGGCAAATTCCCCCCCCCCTACGTAAGATGGCGTCTGGCTTCGAATGCAGACCGGCTGCGCTCGGACGAGCCGGGTTTGACCCCCGGCAATGTCAGCGTGACATTGCCATGACTCGCACACCTGTCAACCCCGTATCAGTGCCCTACCTTATTACAGACCAACCAATTCAGACCTTATTGATCACCCCCGTGCCATCATAAATATCAACGTTCATCCTACAAAGTTCCGTCACAAGAGACCAACACAGATTTAAAAAAAAAAATGTTTTTGCCCGTATTGAAACGGCTGTACGCCGTATGGACCTGAAAACTCAATTTCCCTTACCAAAAATACATGAAGTAGATACACCCCTTCGTCCCATCGTCTCTACTATCAACTCCCCCACCTACAAACTGGCTCGTTTTCTGTCTGAAATCCTGCGGCTCTTCACTGTAAAAACCACCTCTGCGGTACAAAATTCTACTCACCTGGTATCGACAATCACGGGTATTTCCCTGTCCCCAGACGACCTGCTTATCAGTTTTGATGTATATTCTTAGTTTTTTCGGTAAAGTCACGTTGAAGAGAAACAACAAAATAATAAAAAATATATAAAACAATAAAAAAATTCTCACGACGTTTCGACCATAACTCAAACGGTCATCTTCAGGTGTGTTGGTTTGCATAAATTTATTTTTAAACGGCGCATTTATTTATTTATAAAAAACGTTAGCGCCACGCGCAGCGATTTGGCAGTTTACCCAGGACTAGTCCATCTATATTCTGAAAAGAGGAGGGGGGAGACGAAATTTTTTATAATGTATGCTGTCTGAAAGCCACTGTAAGCGTGAACAATCAATTAAGATCTGAAATGGTTTATCAAATCTTTCCAATGATTGCTAAGATAGAATCCATCTTCTTGGTTGAAATTGTCTCTGTGCTTGTATATGTGGATAGCCTCATGAACGAATCTCTCATGGAAGCCAGATGGCTTACAAAGAACCTCTGTCTTGGAAAAGTCAATGGCATGTGAGCCTACTGAATTAGAACAATGATCTGCTACGGCCGAGGTGTTGGTCCTACCGTGTTTAAGGTCTGCTTTGTGTTCACGAATGCGGTCCGAGACATGGCGTTTGGTTTCTCCAATGTAACTACTACCACAGAGGCAACTTAGTTTGTAGACACCAGGGTATTGTATGTCCGGAATCACATCTTTTACAGATGGAACCAGATCACGGATTTTATGTAATGTGTTGAAACGGACCTGGATCTTGTGTTTATTCAAGATTTTGGAGATCTTTTTTGTGATCCCAGCAATGTAGGGTAAAGTGATGGTTTTGAAATAATCTTTTATTGTTTCATATATATTTTATTATTTTGTTGTTTCTCTTCAACGTGACTTTACCGAAAAAACTAAGAATATGAATTACTGCAGTCACGAAAGCTTTAAATCAAAGTTTTGATGTAGTTTCCTTATTCACCAAAGTTCCTGTACCTGACACCATCGCAATCACTGAAGACTTGGTTCATCAAGGACTAAACACTGAGGTACCCCCCCTGGTGAGACACTGCTTAACCAATACATACTTCACTTGGAATGGAACTTTCTACAAACAAACTGAGGGCACCCCAATGGGCTACCCTCTATCTCCGGTTGTAGCCAACATTTTCATGGAGAAATTTGAGACTGACGCCAACCAGACTGCCACTCTGCACCCGACCTTATGGAAGAGGTACGTGGATGACACTTTTGTCATCTGGCCACATGGCCGGCCTGCTCTAGACCAATTCCTCGACCACATCAATTCCATATACCCAGCCATCAGATTTACCATGGAAGTTGAAAAAGATGGCAAGCTACCTTTTTTGGATGTCCTAATAAAAAAGAGACCTGATGGTTCAATGAGCCACTTTGTCTACAGGAAAGCTACCCATATGGATGCTTACCTGAAACCGGATTCCCACCACCATCCATCCCAGAAGAATTCCCTCATCAAGACTCTGCACAATAGAGCCCAATGCATATCCGACCAGGAACACATAGCCAGTGAACTCAAGCACGAACACCAAGCTCTTAAGGCTAATGGTTACTCTGACTACACAATCCGCAAAGCTATCACTCCAACTATGAACAAGGACCCTCTTGAGGAGCCTTTCAAAACCATCACTTTACCCTACATTGCGGGGATCACAAAAAAGATCTCCAAAATCTTGAATAAACACAAGATTCAGGTCCGATTCAACACATTACATAAAATCCGTGATCTGGTTCCGTCTGAAAATATGTGATTCCAGACATACAGTACCCTGGCATCTACAAACTAAGTTGCCTCTGTGGTAGTAGTTACATTGGAGAAACCAAACGACATGTCTCGGACCGCATTCGTGAACACAAAGCAGACCTTAAACACGGTAGGACCAGCACCTCGGCCGTGGCAGATCACTTATAATTCAGTAGGCTCACATGACATTGACTTCTCCAAGACAGAGGTTATTTGCAAGCCATCTGGCTACCATGAGAGAATCGTTCATGAGGCTATCCACATACAGTGAGGGAAAAAAGTATTTGATCCCCTGCTGATATTGTACGTTTTCCCACTGACAAAGAAAGGATCAGTCTATAATTTTAATGGTAGGTGTATTTGAACAGTGAGAGACAGAATAACAACAAAAAATCCAGAAAAACGCATGTCAAAAATGTTATAAATTGATTTGCATTTTAATGAGGGAATAAGTATTTGATCCCCTCTCAATCAGAAAGATTTCTGGCTCCCAGGTGTCTTTTATACAGGTAACGAGCTGAGATTAGGAGCACACTCTTAAATGGAGTGCTCCTAATCTCAGCTTGTTACCTGAATAAAAGACAACTGTCCACAGAAGCAATCGATCAATCAGATTCCAAACTCTCCACCATGGCCAAGACGAAAGAGCTCTCCAAGGATGTCAGGGACAAGATTGTAGACCTACACAAGGCTGGAATGGGCTACAAGACCATTGCCAAGCAACTTGGTGAGAAGGTGACAACAGTTGGTGCGATTATTCGCAAATGGAAGAAACACAAAAGAACTGTCAATCTCCCTCGGCCTGGGGCTCCATGCAAGATCTCGCCTCGTGGAGTTGCAATGATCATGAGAACGGTGAGGAATCAGCCCAGAACTACACGGGAGGATCTTGTCAATGATCTCAAGGCAGCTGGGACCATAGTCACCAAGAAAACAATTGGTAACACACTACGCCGTGAAGGACTGAAATCCTGCAGCGCCCACAAGGTCCCCCTGCTCAAGAAAGCACATATACATGCCCGTCTGTAGTTTGCCAATGAACATCTGAATGATTCAGAGGACAACTGGGTGAAAGTGTTGTGGTCAGATGAGACCAAAATGGAGCTCTTTGGCATCAACTCAACTCGCCGTGTTTGGAGGAGGAATGCTGCCTATGACCCTAAGAACACCATCCCCACCGTCAAACATGGAGGTGTAAACATTATGCTTTGGGAGTGTTTTTCTGCTAAGGGGACAGGAAAACTTCACCGCATCAAAGGGACGATGGACGGGGCCATGTACCGTCAAATCTTGGGTGAGAACCTCCTTCATTCAGCCAAGGCATTGAAAATTGGTCGTGGATGGGTATTCCAGCATGACAATGACCCAAAACACACGGCCAAGGCAACAAAGGAGTGGCTCAAGAAGAAGCACATTATGGTCCTGGAGTGGCCTAGCCAGTCTACAGCCCTTAATCCCATAGAAAATATGTGAAGGGAGCTAAAGGTTCGAGTTGCCAAACATCAGCCTCGAAACCTTAATCACTTGGAGAAGATCTGCAAAGAGGAGTGGGACAAAATCCCTCCTGAGATGTGTGCAAACCTGGTAGCCAACTACAAAAAAACGTCTGACCTCTGTGATTGCCAACAAGGGTTTTGCCACCAAGTACTAAGTCATGTTTTGCAGAGGGGTCAAATACTTATTTCCATCATTAAAATGCAAATCAATTCATAACATTTTTTACATGCGTTTTTCTGGATTTTTGTTGTTGTTATTCTGTCTCTCACTGTTCAAATAAACCTACCATTCAAATTATAGACTGATAATTTCTTTGTCAGTGGGCAAACGTACAAAATCAGCAGGGGATCAAATACTTTTTTCCCTCACTGTATACAAACACAGAGACAATTTCAACCGAGAAGATGGATTCTGGCTTAGCAATCATTGGAAGGATTTGATAAACCATTTCGGGTCTTAATTGATTGTTCACGCTTATGATGGCTTTCAGACCGCATCCATTATTTTCGTCTCCCCCCTCCTCTTTTCCGAACATAGATGGACTCGTCCATCTGAATAACTGCCAAATCGCTCTCCGTGGTGCTAACGATAAAAAAACGCCACTTTTTTCAATTTTTTTTGCTGTGGTTTTCACACCCTATGATGGTTGCTTGTGTTGCAGTCGAAATGTCGTGATAATTTTACTGTTTTATATTTTTATTTTTTATTTTATTGTTTCCCTTATACGTGACTTTACCAAAAGAACCAATAATATATATTCCCTGTTACTCTTTAGGGGGTAAACTGTATGGGTTGACATGGTATGCAATCAGCGCTTGATTGAACATTTCGTTTAACAAGTGGTTCAACATAATCTTTACTGGAGCCTTGCACCCCTTTGGTTCTCAATGGTTATTTTTTTTACAATGTTAATATATACATAGGGGTTTGATGAAACAAAGTACGTTGAAACATACGTGCCCGTGCTTAATTTGTGTTTCGTTTAACCTTCTAAAATAAATCTATCTGACCGTGTCTCGCACCCTCAAGTTAAGAAGCACTGCTTTAAACTGAGCACGTTTAACGTGTCATTTACAACGTTTCATTGATATAGGACGTGTGCATCTTTGTGTGCACACGCACGCACGATGCGCCTTTAATTTTACATTGGTTGTACAGCATTTGACAACAAAAAAATGGTCTCAATGTAAAAAAAAAATACGCCAACAAAAAAATGCCTGCTGCTGACCATTTAAAATTATTATTCTACTGCTTCAGCGTGGAAGGGATATCACCCGCAATGTACCCGATCTTAGAAGTTAAAGCCGGACCTGAGGCAGAGATTGTAATGCTCGGGGTAGGCGATCACCATCCATAACAGGTGTAATGCTTCTGCTTCACCAGCAAAGGGCTGTACAGAATAATAATACAAAATCTGTACTGTATTTCTATGCTCCCATACTGCACATCCGCACCAACCCACAGTGCCCCAGTGTGGTGATGTATGGTCAAATAACCCGATCATGACCTGCACGCACACTGTAACCGCAGTGGATTGACACACGGGCTACGACTTACACGTGTTCCGTTTTAGGGAATAAAATTTGTTGTGAAAGTAATTGTCGCTTGATCTAGTTTCAAGCGAAAGGTCTATCTAATTGTATGTGGTTGTGATATTTGTTAAAGTGCCAGTATGAGCTGAAACAATCATCACGATCCGTGGGACAGACAGCCCCGTAGAGGTGTCCACTGCACATTTCGACATTTGTTTCCACTTTCCTCTATGTTTTGTTTGTAGTGTCAATTTGCTCAGGTAGTGCAACATCTCCCTGGCACCAATCTCTTATGTCATCGTCGTCAAGCCATTCTCTGTTAGCTTTTCCTCTCTTTCCGCTTTCTTCCATTTTTCCGAACAACACACTTTTTTAATGTATGTAAAAAATTTTTATCCCATATCCTCACATCATACATTGCAACATCCTGACATTCTGGTCGGCATTACCAGGGGCATCAATGATATCGGGCAAATTGGACTCATCAGAGAGAGGGGGGAGGGGGGGGAGAGGGGAGGTGGCCAGGTCATTGCCGGAGCACGTACACCAAGCCCTCAAGATGAATAGATACTCAAACCGCACAATCTGCAAAGCTGTAGCCCCAACCATGGGGAGACAACCATCTGAGGACCCAATCAAAACCATCACCTTGCCATACATCGCAGGTGTTACCAAAATATTTCCTAAATCTTAAACAAACACAAGATCCAAGTCCGATTTAATACAGTACATAAAATCCGTGATTTGATCCCATCTGCAAAGGATGTCATTCGTAACATGCAATACCCTGGTGTCTACAAACTAAGTTGTGTCTGCGGCAGCAGTTACATTAAGGAAACGAAACGACATGGCTCGGACCGTGTTCGCGAACACAAGGCAGATTTGAAACACGGCAGGACCAATACCTCTGCAGTGGCTGATCATTGTTATAACGCAGTGGGCTCGCACGATATTGTTTTTTCCGAGACCAAGGTACTCTGCAAACCTTCGTGCTACCATCAAAGATTTGTCCATGAAATCATCCAGATATATAAACACAGAGACAATTTCAACCGAGAAGATGGTTTTAAGCTGAGCAATCATTGGAATGACGTTATTAACCAAGTAAAGTCGTAACTTGCTGTGGTGCTTCCATCCTTCCTGCCGTTTAACTGTTATCTCCGACTCTCTGAGTTGTATTGCCCTGTTCTGTGTCTCTGCATTAACGGGCTGGGGTCTCACTAACATGGCCACCTCTGCTCCCTTCGCTTCAATGTATCGATGGTTCTGGCTGTGTGATGAGCTTTGTTTCTCACTGGTGCGACCACCGTTACGGTGGTTCTCTTGCGTGGACGCACTTGCCTCACAGCGCAGTTGGCAGCGCCGCAGCTTGTGTTACACATAGACATGACATTAACTTACTAATCCCCCTTATCTCCCTGCCTAATCTCTCCCATCAACATAGTATTAATCTCTCATTAACACTGCTGTTGTGCGCATATGCGGGGATGATCCTCTTATGCGGCGACGGAAGCTCATTTCATGCTAATCTCTCTCCATAATCTCTCTTTAATCTCCCCCATTAACACAACTGACGTGCTTGCGTCTGGGGATGGAATTCCTTTCCAGCTCAGACCCCGCTTGCTTGCCCATTGCCACATACATAACCTTGTTGTAACAGCTCTCTCGCTGGTTCAGCAGTTCCACTGCTGAATTATTTTTTTCGCCTGAGGACGACCGCTTGTGTTGCGATCGAAACTTCGTGATATATTATTTTTGGTTTAATTTTATTTTTCTACGTACGTGACTTTCCTGAAAGAACCAAAGAGTGAGGGGGACGTGTCTAACACGCCCCCCTCAGTGAGGACACGCCCCCTCAGTGAGGCCACACCCCCTCAGTGAGGCCACGCCCCCCCTCATTGTGTGAATCTGGCTCTGACACTAGCCAGTGCCTCCCCAGCCATTGACCTCACCGCAAGTCGCTGGTGTCCAAGTAGTTCCAGAGAGGTGGGAATATGGAGAGCGAGATTGATATGTGAAAGAAACAGGGAGAGATATAGGGGAGATAAGTGGTTGAGATCCAGTGGAGAGAAGAGAGGGGACAGAGGAATTGAGAAACAGTTATAAATAGACGGAGCGAAAAATAAAGATAAGAAACACTACAGAAAAGGCTCGTATTAGGGTGAGAGAGACAGGGTTGTATATAAAAATAAACGTTTTTCTGGCTGGTTGGCTCACCGAGAGGGACGGAGAGTCATTTAATAAAAAAAAATGGAATATGAATCCTAAAAATAAGCGTTTTACCTTCAGGGAAATAGAACGAATGAGACTGAAGATGACGAAAAAATGTTTTCGAGTTTTTATGACAAGGAAACAAATTTATAGCCCAACTTGTACCAGTAATAAACATGTAAAAGAGGGAGTGACGAACTAAAACTTTGAACTTCTCTTTTCCATCAAGGTTATCGTGGAGAAGTTATTTTTTTACAGGACAGCCGCGGTGAAGACCAAGTGACTGGATCTCCATTAGCATGGACGGTAAATACATTTTTCTGTAAAGTATCAACTTATATGCAGACACTAATTTTTATTGATGATTACTGGCACGTATGCTCTTAAAGTTTTCGGAATACTGCTCTATGTAGAAATGGCACACATCGTGCAATATACATTGCTACATATCACAACAAATACAGGCTTTTGAATTTGAATGGCCATTGTGAAGAGTGTTATACTGTATTGGATCAAATACTGTAGCGGGTTTCACTTGGATTTAAAAGTTACAACTGTTTTTAGACATTTGTAATGGCAATAAAATTGCACACTCTAAGGTAAGACCCTTTTAACACAACACTATCAATGCATTTGTAATGGCTATGGAATAATAATGTGCAGTGCTAAATCACAGTAAATGCATACTGTGATACGTTTTATGACTTTATTTACAATTTATTAAAAATACCTTGCATTTGCCTTTGTATGCATGTTTAACCACGTTCAAATTTTACAGACTTTCACAGCAAATATTATTTAGAATTGATAACTATACGTAACATTAATAGAGCCCAGAAAATTTACAATTAACGTACCGTCATTGTAAAAGAAACGTCGTATCTACTAAAAGTGTAAGGGTTCTCCAACTTACCAGTGAGCCAAAACAATAATTGGTATGGTAAAAATTGTATATGTGACAATTTGTTTGGTCATGTCGTATAATGGGCGGTCTAACTAACATCGATTTGGTTATATAGTCATACCTTGTCCAATATTGTCGTATCGAACGCGTGTTGTGGCTCTACAAGGATTACTTTTCTTGATGTATATTTTCCGGAAAACGATGGTGATGTTTTGGCTATATGCGGTTTGACGCTGCTAAGATTCCCATCTCCACGTCGACGAGTAACGCGCTGTATGCTTTTGAATGCTGCGGATTAATATCTAATCGCCATCTCCCCCCCAACACTCTCATGCCGCCTGACTTCTTAATCATGTCCCCTAAGCGTAAGTTCGTAAGTTGAGTGGTAGTGCTTCTAGTGAGAAAAATCTGAAATAGGGTAGTAGTTTGCAGGAGTATCAGGATAAAGTCAAGTATTTTTCATAATTGGGGTGACAGCAGCTACCATGAGTGCAGATGGAAATACCAGGGAGCAGAGAGATTAATAAATAATTTTAGTAATCAATGGAATTAAAACAGCTGAACATGGAACACTCAAAACAATGAAGAAGGCGGTTTTTGTATAACCTTATTGGTGTCATTTTCGGAAACTAACCGGGGTAGGTCCAAGATAAATGTGACAATGTAATTACGTAAAGGAATGTGCAAGTTCAGCTAATGGGGTGTCTGAGCCGCTTTCCTCCCTCCAATGACTGATGTCCTCACCCCCCTACACTTAAAACTTTCCAACTTAATTCTTTGAGGAGAAACACCAAGGAAATTCCCTGTTGGTTTGTTCAAAATTTCCTATTTTCCCTTCTATTTTCCGGTATCACACTGGTCATAAATTAACCACGAAGGCTACCATTAGCCTTAAAATTCCATCACTTTAGAAAATTGGTAAAGATACAAACATTTTATGAAAACTCCGTCAATAATTAAATATCTTCTCGTTTGCGATTTGAACCCCCTAATCTAGGGAAAGTTAAATCCACGAGGCTACCAACCCCTGTGTTTTAAGATGGTGCCTCGGGTGACCTTATGTTTGACTTGTAACAAGGTATGACTGTTTAAGCTATGACACAAGGTGGATTTTCAAAGCAAAAAATGCATGTTTAAAGCTATAGAACTGCCAGGTAAAATACAATTTGAATGCCTTGTTTCATTATGTATTCAAATGTTGAACAGCATGTAATTCACTTGCAGGTACCTAGTGAATGAAACGTGCATCGGTCTTTCGTAATAATGCAGAGACACTCTCATTACTCACCAGACTGACCAGACACTCGCTCCTCCCCAATAATCATGCACCACACTCAGTGATGACAAATATATACAATTGAGCATCAAATCAACCCTTTACATTCCCACTTCAAATGACCACGTGTTTAAATCAACCATTTTACATTTCTCACGAACATTATTCAGAACTCCATAGTGTATGCCAGCAGTTCTTAAGTTGACCATGTTTCATCCAATTGTATTGCACGATTCCAGAGGCCACTCAATTCAACCATTTTATTTCCCACTTAATGTAAGCAGGTGTGTTAGGGTTGGTCTTTATGAGGGCCTACAGACTTTGACCAACTTACCTCAAAATGGGACCTTAAATGCATACATCACAATCCCTCCCAGTAATGCACAAAAAGGATACCTAGCTCTTCACCTTTAAATGTTTTTTTAAATTTTAACTAAAGAAAATCACGTTAATTTAAAACAAATAGTGAAGTATGAAATAAATACAATTTAAATAATGTGACAAAGGTTGTACCACCGACTCCTGTTCAGACTTTACCTACCTTAACAGGACCACTTGCACAACACAGCTTTATCAGCATTTAAGCATATAACCCATAAACCCACAGCCACTGCACATTACAAAACTTCAACAGTCATCCCATGAGGTCACAATACACCCTCAAGTGACTCTCCCAAACAGATCGCAACAACTTTAAAGTGGCAGAACTTAACATATAACACCACAATCAGATAACTAACAAGAAGACATAAATCCCAACACATCACACTCATGTGGGAATTTCAAAGATAATTACAGTACTCAGAACTTTCAACCGCTCTCCACACATAACATACCTGCAGTGAACCCCCTGCTGCAGGCTAATACACAAACCGATCCCAAGACAAAATCACGGTGATTTCGTCCAAAGTCTTTTGAATCAAAGACGTTTGAGTCGTCTCGGCCACAGTTGTGCCCTCCTCTATGCTTGCAAAATGTAGAGCCCTCTGAAGGAACATCGGTGCTGGTTTGAAACATTCAGGTTCGCCTTCCTACGATACGTCTTGGGTTAAACCAGACTGTGTGTGTGAATGTATGGTAGATCATTGTTTAACCAGACTTGATTGTGTGAGAAGTTCACAGATCCTTGAAAGATCTGGAAACCGTTCAATCAATGAGCTACTCTGGCAGGCAAGGCAGCGTTTTTTAGTTCTACCAACGCATGCCAAAGCACCTTCTGTTTGGCTGGATAAACCGGCGTGGCACAAACTAGAGAAGAAATGGACTCGTATTACTGGAGGATTTGGAACTGACACTAGTAATGTCAAAATAGGCCACTGTGGGGAAGGCTTGTAAAGGGCCCTCCTGGGCAGTTTGAAGCAGTCACTCTCCCTAAAACAATGAAGGGTAGATGTTCGATGCTCACAATGAGCAGAGCGCTGGGTGACTAAACATAAGTGGGTACAGTGGGGAGCACAATTGGTGTATCTGCCAGTCATCTTAGTCAGTTAAACCATAATACCTGGGTCCGTGCCATGATCTGCCAGAGAGCCTTCAACAATTATTGTTGCTTTAAAGTACAGTGATGAATTGCAGTTTATGTTGCGTGTGTACGTAAACGTGTGCATATGTTTGAGTGTGTATTTTTGTAGGTATAATAATACAGGAAATCCTAAATGAAAATCAACAGAACAATATCCGTCATTATGATATTTGTTCATGTACATTTTGGAATAAAAATGTTCATGTGTGCGAAACAAGACTGTCAACCATTCATGAGGGTATTGCACTCAAAATCTGCAGACAAACCAATAACTAATGTGCTGTGCTGCTCTCTTCCGGCCATGTCGCAACCCATTGGGTTCGGAAATCTCATACAGAGTATCCCAACCCTTGCCTCCAATGTGCTAGATTACAGGCATACGCCACCAAATCTGCTATCATTGTGAAATAACACGAAGTTAATGGCTTGCCTTTTACACGTGTTTTCTTTTCAGGTCAAGAAGAACAGCATGGTCCTGAAGCACTGTATAACAATGCCAAAATCCAGTTTATAAGATTATTGAACAAATGGAAGGAGACCAGGGTGATTAGCATCAAGGAGACGCGGAGGGTTGCCGATGCGCTGGCCAAGCTGGAGAAAGATGTCAACATCTCCCAGACAGTGGGCACGGCCACCAGCCTTATTGGTGGCATCGTGGCTCTCGCTGGGATCATCGCGGCCCCGTTTACGTTCGGTGCCTCTGCTCTAATAGCAGGTGTGGTGGGAGCTGGGATTGGCATAACGGGTGGTTTGGTGACAGCTGGGAGCAGCCTTTCCAAGATCTTCATAAAAAAATGCAAACTCAAAACCACTGAAACAGCCGTTAAATTAGACACAGAAATGCTGGAAGACGTCATGAATTCACTGATCAACCTCAATGAAGCATGCATCGAGCTTACTCATTTCGACAAGCAAGATCACAGGGCGTATTCTTTCAGGAAAGCTTACGGAAAGCTGTGCAGACATGTGGGGGTCCAGCCTGGCAGTGGTGATCAGTTCACCGAGTCACTGGTACGAGTGTTCATTGGTGTAGGCATTGTTCCAGCGCAGTCAGCTGATGCAGTTGAGATTGGAGTGAGTGTGGTCAAGGCAGCAAGATTTGGGGCAAAAGCAAGCTTGGTGGGAGCTGAGTTGGCAAATAATGCCAGAATGGGAGCTTCTATATTCAAAACCGCCAGTATGGCAGTGGGAAAGGCTGCATTTTCTGGCGTTTTTTCTTCCCTGGGGATCGTCTTAGACGTCGCATTTCTTGCCTACTTGGGAAGAAAGCTGCACAAAGGGAGCCCATCCCAGGTGGCGAAGGAGTTGCGAGAGAGGGCTGACATGTTTGAGCAGCAGCTGCCAAAGTTTGATGAATTTGCCAAGCGTTTTCCTGGGCCGCCGTCGTGTCTGGAGCAACTCTACCTCCAAGCACGTCGCAAGATCTCGAAAATGGATCTGTGCTCTATTGTTCTGTGCTTTGCTGCTCTGCTGGTCGGTATATGGGCCCTAATCGCGTGGCTCTGTAGTGGTCCCATGCCGATGACCGCTGTAGGTTTCCCTCGCCCTGCAGAGCGAGCGAGGTTTGTCGGGCAGGAGCAGAGCTCATTTTTCTGGCACGTGGTTTACGTCACTCTGACCTTTGTATTCATGCTTGGTACTGGGGCCGTCTTGCTCCTTTTCTAACAAACGTGCAATCACATCAGCGGCGGTACAACAGGCATGCTTTCGGGTGCGGGAGCCTGGGTGCAATGTAAGATTGTAGGCTGAAAGAGGTGGGTTAGGAAGGTGTTGTTTTGCAGGTTGCCGTTCCACAAGGCTCTTTGCCGTCTCTGACATTATTTCTTCTCTTTGTGACTTGCTATATCCTGCTCACACGATTCACTCTTCATAACAGCACTCGTAATTCATCATACTCATCAGTAGTCTAGATTCCACTCTCAGCTGCCAAATGTGCCGAATCAAACGGAGGGGGTCTCGTTTACGAACCGTTTTCCCATTTGTCTTTGAGTATGTGGATCGCGGATTTGCTGATTCCGGATATTTTCAAGAACGTAACCCTTGCCATAGGTAATGATTTGGTGTACAAGTTCAGTCGGAGTTAGAATACTGTTGTCAAATCTGGGATTGCCTCATTCCTACAGTTCTGACATTGGAAAGCATGAATACTCCCCATTGATGCATTTTTGTCTTGTTTGCATAGTTTAGTGAATTGCCATGTATTTGTATGAATGCTTGCAAATCTTGTTGTAGTGTCGTATAAACATAGTCATGTGTCTTTTAACTAATGGTGAAGGTTTATTTACCTGTCATTGACAAGGATATCGGTGACACGTAACAATAAGTGATTGAGAAGTGAAATCCAACTGTCGACATTGTCCATTCACCGTGCATATAGCATCAGCATTGATTCATAGTCGACTTGAGGAATCCATTTATAGATTTGAAGCTTTCGTAACTGCAAGGATTCATATTCTTTGGTTTTATTCGGTAAAGTCACGTATGAAAAATAAAATAAAAGAAAACAATTAAATCACGACGTTTCGGAGGCAACACAAGCTTCCGTCTTCAGGTGATGCAGACAGCAAAAAATTCGCTGTATCCTCAGCGAATTTTTCAGCGTCCAAAATCGCGTGACGTCGTTTATGGACGGCCCCTTATAATAACGCTCACCCGCGCAGCCCAAGCAGGCGAGGACTCGCCGTAAAGGACGGGCGCTCAGTTGCCGCCCCGATCTCCACCATGGAAAGTAGTTAGCAGCGATGTTGCAGAGATAATACACAACGTTAAATGCATTAATGGGTATTGATTCATCGGCGACGTTAAACGTGCTGACGTGAAGCGAGAAGCGACTGTACAGGGTGGTTACAAAGTCCCTTTGCATGAAACAAAAATATGTGCATGGATGCTCCTCGACTGGAACGCATCCGTGTGTTGCCATCAAATCCCAAGCACACAGCTGGGTTCGTACCAACGTTCTCGATAGGAGATCCCTCCAATTGCATGTCTGCGTCCTGTAAAAACAATTACTGGCAGCTGTTTAGATCTACTTAATATATGTCAATCTTAAGTGTGAGATACTGTCTTCTCTTCAATGCTGTAGTTGTCAGGTATGGGCTTCGGGTGGACAAAACAAATCAGATATTTTCCAATTCCATTATCCATTGAATTCCTGATTCAAATACGTATTCCAGAATTGCGAGAGCATAATGCTCCAGGGAACATGCATATTTATTTCAGGAGGACTTTGTGGCCACACAAAACTGTTAAACCCCACTGAGCTATTAGCTACTTTTCAGAAGTGACTTGCCCACAAATGATAGCTCAACGAAGTGGCTTATCAACTAGAAATTTATAGCAGCCAAATACTCTAAACACATGTTTCTAAATGTGGAGGAAAAACACGGAGGATCCGGAGAAAAATCCATGCCACTACGGTGAGAGAAACAAGCAAACTCCAAATATACCAGCATCAGGGTCGGGATCCAACCCATGGCCTCCTGCATACCAAGCGAGAAAGATAATTTCGCCACCGCAGCGCTGGAATGTTAAAATTGGATAACCAATTAAATAACCGATCAGAGATCTGCCCATATATGATATTGTGGATCGTGAATCGAGGCTAATTGTATCGATTCTGCTCAGTTAATCCGGCAGGCAGCTCAAAGTCGATCGGGCAGCCATCTTAAAAATGTCCGTTTTTATCTTAAATATAATTCTGGGGTTCGCAGTGTACAATGGTATTGACATCCGTTTTACCTAATTTTATATTATTCTGTTCGTATAGCCGATCAGACTACTATGTTAAAACTATATTTTTATGATTTTAAAACAATGTTATGCTGATGAACAATTTAATCATAGCTGCGATTCAGTGTATTCCGATGTCCTAATTCGTCTTTAACTTGCTTCTGTGAGTGTCCGATCTTATATTAACGTTCATTCCTTGAGTGCATTAATTCCGACGTCCCACTTAATCTTCAACTTGATGCTGTGTTAGATTTTGCATGAAGCTTTATTCAGCGAGTACTGTATATACAAGCAGTCCGCATTCTAAACCATCTGGTCATTGAGGTTAACCTTATTTCTGGAAGCAAATCAATGAGGGAAGGTAAAAGCCTCGTCTCACGTGTTTTTACGTAGTCAAAAGATCATGACATGCCACAGTAAATGCAAACAATGCCACGCAAAAAGGGAGATTTGAGCAGCACCTCAAATCTGGCCACACACCCTGAGAAATACAACTACAAAGCCACGTGCATGAGGCGCAAAGTTAGAACGCCACTCACGACTATGGCCCTACGCAATCCTGACACACACACACACAGATAGTCCACCGATTCCATGTCTGCACAGCATATCTGCCCCACTGATCTTCAGTTGGGAGGCCCGCACTCAGGCTTCAACTGGCAATCTTGGCGAGGGTAGTGGGACCTGGGCTGGCTGCTCCTGCCCACTACCTCCGATCCCCATAAGATGCCGCTCTATGCGTTTCCTCTGGCTCCTCCGGCTACCCTATTATTGTAATCTATTGAGATACACGTGGGAGATGGAGAAGGTGTGGCGGAAATGGGACTAGGTTTAATTTCAACACCCGACCTAATAATATAAATATTCTCAGTTTTACAATGTAAATTTTCGATTTAAAGCTTTCGTGACTGCAGGGATTCATCTTCTTGGTTCTTTCGGTAAAGTCACGTAGAATGGAAATAAAATAATAAAAATAAAACATAATAAAATAAAATTATCACGAAGTTTCGGTCACAACACAAGTAGCCTTCCTCAGGTGAAGAAACAGAACTGTCGGGAAGACAGCGCTTTAGTGAACACTGCCAAGCTTGGCAGCGTCTTTTAAGCTGGGTGGGAAGAGCAGAGCGCCATGACGATGGAATTTACATATCAACAGAAGGATTTAGCATTGAAATAGCTGTGTTAATGTGTTGGATTAGCAGGATGTTAAAGTCAGAAATTATCATGAAACTGGAGGATTAGCACCACGGAAAGCGACGAGCTTTGTTCAGACGGACGAGTCCATCCATGTTTGGAACGGAGGAGGGGGGGAGAGAATTTAGCATTGAAATAGCTGTGTCAATGTGTTGGATTAGCAGGATGTTAAAGTCAGAAATTAGCATGTAACTGGGAGATTAGCACCACGGAAAGCGACGAGCTTTGTTCAGACGTCTGAACCAGATGGCTGTAGACAGTGTGTCCCATTGAGCCTGATGGCTCATCAGCCTGATGGCTCAATGGGACACATTGTCTACAGCCATCTGGCTCAATGGGACACTATCTACAGGAAAGCCACCCATACGGATGCCTACCTAAAATCTGACTCTCACCACCATCCATCCCAGAAGAATTCCTTCATCAAAACTCTACACCATAGAGCTCGATGTATTTTCGACCATTATCACCTAGAAATTCTATTCACGATCAGCTAATATTTAAAGCACCACCTTGGAATGGCAACCCTTTTCGAAACACAAAGATAACTTTTTGAAACAATCTTATTAGTCCCGATATGCGTGTTATGTGTGTGTCTTCTTTGCCACTTGTTCAATTGGCAGCTTATACGGTACAGCGTTCCTTGTACTGAAAATACCTCAGATTCCCAGCAGTGCCGCTGGGATGGCGTGTGTGTATTGAACACACGGGGCTCTTGCCCCAACCGACACTTTTCCTCTTGGCTGCACTGGTTCAGACTCTTTCCACTGCTCCGTGCTCTTTACCCTGGCGTGCAGCTGCCAGCTTCGCGCGGGCACCTGGTGGTGCCTCTCCCGCCCTTCCTCTTGGCTGCGCCTGCTCTCTGTGCGATGCTCGCTCGGTCGATGCTTGGCGCTTTTGCCTTTTCTCCTGGTTGATTGCTTGTCGTTGCTCGTCACTCTTTCTTTCTCGCTTGCTGCAGCTGCTGGTGGGAGCTGGCACTCAATGTGGAATACAACTTTTAGCGATACTTCGTCTGTCAGCGCCGAACTCACACTGAGCGGCACATCACTTCTCTGCAAGCCTCGTCATCCATGGTCGATTGCGGGGCCAACCCCCCGAGCTTGCTGCAGCAAGACTCAATTTTCGTTGATTCTTATAGACTCGACCTTTGTTGGTGTGCAGCGCCGTTTTTCAACTTTTGTGCTCTCCGCCCTTATTCCAAGAGGACGCCTGCTGTGAGCCGCTCGTCGCTGGCTGGATCACTCACTCTCATAACTCGTAAATTGTATTCCCACACCTCTTAGCTTCTCACTACTCGTATAGCTTAGCATAATACAACTTATCGCAAGTCCTCGACTCAGCAAGCGACTCAAAACATGAGGGTAGATGTAGAATAAAACTTTGAGCGATACTCTGTCGGTCCATGCCGAACTCAGCTCTTAACAATACATCGTCCCTTTTCTCTGGAGATATAACTAAATTTTTACTTAAGCTTGTGACTGCCGGAATTCATATTCTTTGGTTCTTTCAGTAAAGTCATGTAAATAGAAAGATAAAATAAAAATATATATAAGGTGAATAAGAGTCATATAAGTAATAATAAAAGCCACTAATGTAGACTGCAGCCTGGTTCTTAATCTGAGAGTGTACTGGCAGTCTATAATGTCGATGTATTATTGTCACTAAGTTTCGAACTTTTACCGTTGTTAAAAAAAAACGCCAGTTGTAATGTCTGATTGCCCCTGCTCTGCGTCCGTGGAGATCTGAATAGGGTGGTGCAACCACCGTGTCAGCAAGTTTCGATTTGAGAACAGGCTGTTCCTCCCGTGCCAGCGAGTCTGGAGATTTGTTTGTGAAACTCTCCAAAACGTCCGTGGAGGTGTGTCCCATGGTCCCCCGCCCCGTGGAGATTTCCCAGATTGTCATTAACTTCACTTTGTCCCGGGGTTTTATTATTTAATGACTTTTACGTGGCAAGGCAGCTGGGGTGTGAGGGGTGGGGTGTGCCCCACTGTTTCATGCCCCATGCTCACCAGGATTGATTATTACAAAAAGAATAGGCAGAATAATTCTTAATATACATTTTGGAAAAATGCCTATATATTCAACACCACAGTGCACTGACCAGCGTTGTGAAGTATGGCTAATCAGCCAGCAGTGTCAGATCATAACAGTTGCTGATGTACTAGTGCATGCTTGGGGAGGCCTTCATCCAGTTGTGGATGGACTGGCTAATGATGATGATGGTGAATTAGAGGGGGGATGCCTTCATCCAGCAGGAGATTGATAAAAGGCCCGTGTTTAAAAAAATGCACGTAAAGCACTATATTTATAAATTCTGGAGAGTGAAGGAGTAAACCCCTTACCCCGCCATTTTTTGTATACACTCACAGAATAAGATTTAATATACAATCGGACGTAAGAATACCATTGCTTTGTATTTACTCACTGAATACAGTTTAACATTAATTCGAACACTCAGAATAAAGTTTAAGAAAACCGACATCAGAATAGAATGGTCTTCAGTCTAATGTAAAAAAACGGACATAAGAATATAGTAACCATAGAAAATACCGGGTGAATCACGATCGGCTCATTATTTTGCGGGTTA